GTGGGGAACAGAAGAGTGTTTTGAAGATGTAAAGGAGACAGACACAAAGGTAGATGAAAGGTGATGTGAGTACTGGGAAAGTGGTCGAATTCGACATACAGTGGGGTCATGATAGCTTGAACTCAGAAATCAACTGCCAATTGATAGACTTTTTGCCGCATGAGTATACGTTGCCGCATGATGCACCATGTGGAGGTAAGTCTTTTGGACACCCCAAGTGGAAGTCTCAGAAGGCGTACACTATTCGCAATCATTTAGGATGATTAAGCAAAGTATCAGTGCTACGAAGAAGGATCGAAAAGTAGTTTCGAGAATAGGGGGGGGGGGGTTAGGGGTCGTGAGGGTTAACAGAGTAGAAGAGATCTTCATGATTGCCAGGTAGATAGAGTCTGGCTCTGTGAAAAATTCACAAGTTCACGAAGGAAAATGCCAACAACACAGGACTTAAGTGGAATGTATATAGTGTTAGTCACACGTTCCCCTAAAAACACGTCTTTGCACTTCCCTTCTAACGCCTTATCAAAGGTCCCATGCCATGGTAAAAAAAAAGTGTTGAGTCCCCTATCTTAGGTTCGATCTCATAACTTAGCGTGATGGCTCGGGTCAGCTATCACACATTAAGTGAATGATTTCACCTACGCAAGGTTCTATAAATTTAAAACTTAATTGCACCCTTTAAGGGATTATCTGTTTGCGGCCTGATATTTAAATTTCTCCTATAAGGAATGACTCGCTTAGCCTGCTAAGTTCATTGTTGACGATCGTGACGTTACTTTTTAATTCAACGAACTCACTCAGTTTCTTTCACGCTCAGAAATGTACACTTTTATAAATGTTATGTTTAATGCACTTTGTGGTGTGTCGGTTTTATTCTGGCTTTTTGCCAGATCAGTTTAGCTGCCAATTTAAGTCGGTTTTTAGTGCCAGTAACGCGCTATCAGGCATTGTGCTTAACAAGGCCCAACCTATTGTCTGATGATGTCGAAAGAGAAATCGTTTAAGGCTAAAATAAGAACTATCGATCATTTATTTCTTTTACTTGTTGATATATTTATTTCAAATGGCGGCTTTATGACACTTATCATTTGCCCTTTAGTTGACTTCAGGCTTCACAGAGGGAAAGGAGGAACATCAAAATGAGAAAACGTGAAGAAGGAGGAGAGAAGAGTGATTTAAAGATGTTAAAAATACAGACAGACACAAAGGCAGAGAAAAGGTAGGATAAGTATGGTGGAAGTGATCGAATAAGACACAATGGGATCATGGCAGTTTGAAGTCAGAAGTCGACTGCCGGTTTATAGACTTTTTGCCGTATGAGAATACGTTGCCCAGGGTGCACCACGGACTCTTTTGCCGTGTATACGTTGCCCAGGGTGCACCACGTAGAGGTAAGTCTATCCCTAAGTCCCTCTGCTAGAGCCATATTTACCAAATAAATTACAATGGATTGGACATAATTGGATGCTTCTGCGGTCCCTTTTCAAATCTTTCATCTTCCCAGTTCTATCCTTCTTGTTGAAATGTCTTTCTCCTCTTCAGGTGGTGCTCTGAATTTGTGTCTTCTATACAACTGTTAGCCAATAGGAAACTGGGAAAGTGGCAAGTGTCATGCAAACTCGAAGAGAGAATGTGGGAGAGGAGGAATAGGCCTGAAAATTTGTGAACAATGCACCTGGATTTAGAAGCTTGCAGATAGTGAGTTATGAGAGACCAGAAAATTAAACAAATATTTATTTATTTATATCAAATGGCAGGCGTTTTGATAGTTATCATTAGCCCTTTAGTTGACTTCAGGCTTCATAGAGGGGAGGAGGAACATCAAAGTGAGAAAAAGTCGAGAGGGGGAAGAGAAGAGTGATCCACAGATATGAAAGAGACACACAGACAGGCACAAAGGCTCAGAAAGGATAAGATGAGTACTGTGAAAGGGGTCTAATATGACTTACAATCGGGCCATGGTAGTTAGAAGTCTGAAGTCAACTGTCAGTTAATAGACTTTTTGTCATATGAGTATAAGTTGTCCAGGGTGCACCACGTGGAGTTAAGTCTATCTGCGTATGAGACATTTTAGATCGCCCTAATTTATTTTAAGTTAAATGATTGTGTGTCCTCTTTGTAAGGGTTTGCCCAAATGTTAACTTTAAGCTTCCGTAATCGTGTGATGAGTTCTATCAGATGAATTTTAACACTTATCCCTCAATTGCTGTACAGATTCGGGACCAACCGAGTTGACATTTTCTGAACAGACTTCTAAGGAACTGTTTCAAATAATGTTGGTGTTGTAATTTCAAATTTTGAATTGACTCGAACAGATATGTCTGCCTTTCAACATTCATGGCATCATCATTCACCGAAAAGTCAAGTCACATGCTTTGAAACTCATTCAATTAATCCTGTTTTAACTAACTGATGATAAGAGTGTTCCAGATCGGAACCTTCACACGTCCAGACTATTTTCTTCACTGTTCTAGAGGATTTTCAGCATCCTCGAGTGAAGTAGACGTAGGTGTTTGCAAACTTTATGGACACCAGTGACTCCTCAAATACGGCAAAACCAAAGAGTCTGGCGCTTAACTTCTAGCAGGTTGCACACCCATGTTCCCATATAAGTTGGGATGCTGTCAATGATCATAGAATTCTCATGCGCCCATCTCAATAGAACGATCAACAATTTTGGAAGCTTCGGAAAATCGTCGTTTAGTTATACTTTTTTGTTGCTTTCAATGTGAATGATTGCATTATGCTTCAATACCTTTTATCGGAACATATATGTTTCACCATTTCACATCATGGACCCGCTTTCTCACTCTAAATGCTCCTAGTCGTTGTGTTCAAGAATGGCCTTTTCAGGCGTTTATTGGCATTGACATTTAGACTTTGATATGAGGTCACTTCCGTTATTCTGTCAACAACTTCTCACCTGATTTATACTCGTGTCTTTCTCGGTGAAGTGGTAATACTTAGTTGAGATGCAACCAAACAATGATCTGCGTTTGGTACCTGCTTCTCTGGTTGCTCGAATATTGAGAAAAGCCGATTTCCTTTGTCATGAAGCAAGAGGGAAATTAAGGACAGTGAAAAAAGTGATCTATTCCACCAGAACATGTAACACTTTCTGCTGTCTCTACTGCGTCTATAAATGAGCCCACTGCACTCATGTAAGTTATATGAGGATTCTGAAAAAGTCGGGAGTTTAAATCGTTCACAATGAAGCCGTATTTACAGCGACTCATTTTCTCTTCAAAAGCTTCAATTCTGGGAATGTATATACATATATCCCATTGGTTGTTAACATTTCGAAGTGTTTTGGGTTTCTCAAACAATCTTCATCAAGTTAATCGAATTAAAATCGTGTCTCAAAAGGGAGAATTCGGGCAGCCTCTCATGTAACTATAATCTACAGCAGTACGAAAGGGAGAGTATAAATGGTCGAAGAGAACTATGATTGAGAAACTCTGGAAAGGGTGGTACGTCATAAAGCGAATGGGGTTCAATTGTTATGAGATTAAGGTACTTCTTGTAAATAGTTAGTGAAGTTTCACACTTTAGTGAAAAAAGATTATCTCCTTCACAAGACCTAATGCATTATGTTTGTGAAAATTAGTTTTTTTTCATATCATTTAAGCCACGTAACTGAAACTATTTGATACTCATTGCATTCGAAGTTGCTTATGAAGTAGAACTGGCAAGTGCGGTTTTCTCGTAATCAATGGTGAGGGATCGGGGTGTGCGACAGACTTACCTCCACGTGGTGCACCCTGGGCAACGTCTAATTATACGGCAAAAAGGTCTATCAATCGGCAGTTGACTTCTCACTTCAAACTTCTATGGCCCGACTATTTGTCATGTTCGACCCAATTCACAGTACTCATCTTACCTTCTTTATGCCTTTGTGTCTGTCCGTCTATCTCTTTTACCTCTGTGAATCATTATTCTGTCTCCCCTCTCGACTATTTGCCACTTTGATGTTCCTTCTCCTCTCTGTGAAGCCCCGAAGTCAGCTCCAGGGCTAATGATAA